ACTCACAATATGGCACGACATCACCCTTCGTGCATTAATACTCACAATACGTCACGGCATCACCCTTTGTGCATTAACACTTTCCCTTACCATAATGCAATGCATAAATAACAACAGGGAGAGAGAATAACAAGTACAAACCTTACTTCAACATTTGGTTCCGTAATATCAATCTTAACTTTGAAATAAAAACTCAATTATCACCAGAAAATTCTGTAAACATGATAAGAACGATAATTTGAACAACACTAGTATAACACGTAGCAATTTGGCATAAGAATGAGACAATACCAGAAAAACAGAGAAACATGAAAAAACAGGTAAATTGGCGGTGCATAGGTACTCGTCACCTCACATATACACCGCTCACATGAATTTTACTTAGCAAATAATCAAAGGTTCCTAATTCCCTCAAGTCAGGGTTAGACACAACACTTACCTCGCTCCGAAGGCCACTTAATTCTTGATCACAGCTTTTCCTTTGGAATTCACCTCCAAACCACTCGTATCTATTCAAAAATGACTCAATAATATCAAATATTGATAAAGGAATCAATTATATTGCATAAATTAAATTTCCAAAATTTTTCTCCAAAAAGTCAAAAAATCGACCCCGGGCCCGCTTGGTCAAAACCCGAGGTTCGGACCAAAATCCTTCTACCCATTCACCCCCGAGAGGTCTAAATCCCCAAATTTTCGAAATCCCTATTTTCTGCCCTAACCCCTAATTCTACCATGAAACTCTAGATTTCTAGGTTGAATTCTAGTGAAATGAAGTAAAAGATTGAAAGAAACGAGTTAAGGAACACTTACCTATGATTTGGGGAAGAAAATGTCTTTGAAAAATCGCCCTAGGCCTCCTATCCTTTTGAAAACGAGAAGAAAAAAATGGTTGGAGTCCGAATTAAATGCTCAATGCCCAGCGACCTTCGCACCTGCGGTGCTTTGGTCGCACTTGCGCATCCGCATGTGTGGACGGGGTGTGCGCTTCTACGGAAAAGGGCTGGGCCAACTGGGGCCGCACCTGCGGACAGGGTTCCGCTCCTGCGGTCCCGCTCCTGCGGAGAAAAGTCCGCATCTGCGAAAAAATGAAGTCCAGGCCTGGGTCGCATCTGCGGGGCTTTCCCTCGCACCTGCGACCAAAGGCTCGCAGGTGCGGGCACACCAGATTTGGTGCACCAGTAGCCTTATTGAGGTTTGAACTCAACTCACGCATCGCCCGAATGGAACCCGAGCTCTCGGGGCTCCAAACCAAATATGCACGCAAGTCTAAAAATATCATACGGACCTGCTCGCGCGATCAAATCGTCAGAATAATACCTAGAACTCTAAATTTAGCACCAAATCAAATGAAATTCTCAAGAACACTTTCAAATTTCTATTTTCTCAAATGGACGTCCGAATCACGTCAAATCAACTCCGTTTCTCACCAAATTTCACAGACATGTCTTAAATATCATAATAAACCTGTACCGGGCTCCGAAATCAAAATACGGACCCGGTACTAATAATACCAAACATCAGTCAATTCTTAAAAATAATTAATTTTCAAACTTTTAATTTTCATCAAAAATTCATAACTTGAGTTAGGGACATCCGAATTCGATTCCAGGCATACGCCCAGGTCCCATAATTCGATACGGACCTATCGGGACCATCAAAGCATGGATACGGGCCTGTTTATCAAAAATATTGACCGAAATCAACTAAAATTAACTTTTAAGGCAAAAATTCTTATTTTCATCAGTTTTCAACCTAAAAGCTTTCTAGAAACCTGCCCGGGTTGCTCACGCGAATCGAGAAGGGTAAAAATGAGATTTTTAAGGTTTAAGAGTGCAAATTCGAGTTCTAAACTATAAGATGACTTTTTGGGTCATCACAAGAATAAATAAGCATCAATGACTCAGATTCCACCCGTTTGCATCTCCAATTCTGTTACAAACCCAACCAACTACGAGAGAAGGGTCATTCATGAAAATTCGGGTATCTTCTTCTTCTCTCACTCTGTTACACCTTCTCTCTTCTTTTCTTCACCTCTAATTCTTTCTACCTTTTTGTTTCCGCACGGATTCTTAGCTTTTTAATGGAGTATCAACTGGATTGTTTTTCATTTTTGTTAATATGGTTTTGTTTAGATTGTAATTTGAATTTCCAATTCGTTTATAAAACAATCCAGAAAATCGTCTTAAAAATCTATTATTCTCCTTTACCTTTTGTTGTAGAACCTGACAATCTTCAACTCAAGTTGAGATTTTCTGAGTTGGTTTCCATGAATCGGAGGAACTAAGTCCTAAATCCTTGAACCAAAAGTCTCTGGATCTTGGTGTATTCCTTGGGGGGAATTCTATGGTAAGTGCCTATGCAAACTAAACGTACTCCCCCCCCCCTTTTTTTAAAACAAAAAAACATAGTTACACAAAATATCTAACCCGTTAAAATTTATTACAATCAAACTTCTCTATAACATCATTTCTTTATAACAATACTTCACTATAAAAGTCAAGTTTGTTTTGCAATCAATTTTACATGTTATGCCATAATATATGTTTTGTGTAATAGCACTTTGCTCTAACTGCTAAAAAATATCGGAATAAAAGAGTTGTTATAGAGAGATTTAACTGTACCCGTCTGCCCCAAACCCCAATCCCTTAAGTCACAGAAAACTCTGAAAGCCAAACTGCCAAAGGCATATTTTCGAATAAATTTTCTTATGTTATAAAATAATAATAGAAGAAGAAGAAGAGTATTGTAGAGAAAAGTAGAGAGAGAGAGAGAATTCTTATTGATTAGTATGAATTACAAAGAAATAGAACTCCTCTATTTTGTAGGGGAAAATGACTTAGCCACTAAGTAACAAACCCTAAAATCTCTCTGTAATATAGACATTCACCTGAAATATAATTTTTTATAACACTCCCCCCTGAATGTCTATTCAACAGATAATGTGTCTCGTTAAAACCTTAACTAAAATAAAATCCAGTGGGAGAAAAATTCTAGAGAAGAAAAAAGAGTACACATATTTAGAAATACGCCTTTTAGTTGCCTCGTTAAAAACAGTGCAAGAAAAATCCAGTGGGACAAAACCTTGTAAGAAAAAAAGAGTACAATGCGTATTAACTCCCCTTGATGAGAACATCAATTCAAATATTTGAGTCTTTGCATTCTAATCTTGTGCACCATCTTCAAAAAATTATTAGTATAGATTTAACAAATAAATCAACCATATTAACTTGAACGAATATGTTGCACCTTAAAATCATCATTCTTGATAGAGATGTGTTGCCCTCATGTGATCTTGTTAGAATCGTCATTTCAATATCTTCACATAGGGGTAAAGACTCTTACTATCGTATTATCATGCTTATAGTTATTAGTAAGATACATATGTGAACAAATTACACTTAGGATGTGGTAATTCAGGACCAAGAAATTCCCCAAGAATTGTATATGCTATCAGCATTTTAAATCGTTCATAGATTCTCATATATGTGTAGTCAAATAGTCAAATAGAGTTTAGATTTACATCAAATTTTCATGTCATGCCAGACATATAAGATATATAAAAGTGATTGTGCACACCATTGACTTTAAACTTTCAAGTGTTTGAACTGTAGGTCCAAAACTATATGTCTTTCATATGAAACCAATTCTACTTGAATTATTTTTTCAGACTTAAGATCCTCATATATATATATNTATAGAGATCTCTTCATTCATATTTTCAGGCACCTGAACCTCTCCTGAGATTTTATGAAGTATTATGTCATGTAATCTTCTAGATCGCTTGCCTCTTTATTATGATCATTTTGATCATTTGCTCATCTTCTTTATCAAGAATTTTATTTGAAACCGATTTGTTTATACACTTTAAGCGTACCATAGACTTTGTCATTTTAGGACTTATTCTAATAAGAGTATTTGCAATGAGAATATAATTACTTTCTTCGGGTCAGCAAATGCGTCTGGCATGCTTTGCAATATATCGCAAATGAAATATCTTTTTATGAACTTCAAGTTCATATTATCTTATTCGAGGATCTAGATGTACACATGATAATTCATTCCACGTAACTTTTTTTCAGCTGTTTATCATGTCTCCCCCTCATGTTAGAAAAACTAACTTGCTTTCTGAACTTTGAAAATCCACCTATGTGCGTTATGGTGTTAATCAAAATATACACCGCACATCAATAATAATAAGATGGAATTATTTGGTTTCTGACCCCGAACCACTTGTGAGGGGAGAATGTAATATACTTTCATATATAATGTATATCAAACTAATATAGATAACTTTGTTCTCATAAGCAATAATTTAGCTATTAAATGGAGGCACTCAATAAATAGCTATTGATAATCAATTTTATTTTTTTGAGACTTACTACAACATAATGCCTTATTGATAATCAATTTTATTTCTTCAAAATAGTATAATTGGCTCTTCTAGAGCTCTCAATTAATTTTATACTGCCACATATTCATCAACATCCATATGGTGAATATCTCTTTTAAGGAGAAAGTTATATCATTATGGCCATGGTCAAAATCATTATAGGCAAGATATGTTGCTTCTATTACTTTTGCCCTATAATAATTATATTGCCACAATATTTTGGCATACTCACAATAGGTACGTGATAAATGACAATTCATGCCATAATAATGAAATTATTTTCTTATTTCATCTCAAACCCCTTCTGAAGGTGAGTGTGGTATAATCATTACCATTAGCATGTTCATATTCTTCCAAGAATGAATATGTATTCATAAATCACATGTTGTCACATTCACATCATGAATGGACCATAATCATCTAAATGTGCTTTACAAAATCTCAAGTCAAATCGATGATAAATTTTACTTTCACAGAGTAAAGGATTATTTTGAGAATCTTTATTATTCTCATTACCACAATAATGACGATTATAATTTTGTCTATTGCCACGTCCACATTCATTGATACCTTCACGGTAATAATTTTATTTTCTTTCAGATTTATCACATGCTGCTACTACATTCTTTTAAGAGAATGAGAATGAAGCAAATTCAATGGGACGGATTTTTACTCCTTGTGCCTTAAATTCAGAATTTATTCCTAATATTTTATCCATGCACATGAAGATTTGAGGTCCCAATGTACTCGAGAGTTTCGCAAACGATGGGTAATATCTGATTAATTGGTGTCCTAGTCTAAGTGATCTTTTAACTTTGAATGAATGAATGATTTGTTTCATCTTGTGTTCCTCCATCCCTAAACTGCTGTTGTTATTTCAATGAAAATATCAATGTAACAAAAATAATTGAAAAGTAAGTATGATAAACGAAAATATCACATAAGTAATTGGAATTTGGATTATTAAATGAATTTGATTTCTTAAAATTTATAGAAGTTAGTAAAGTTGGAATGGTATAAGAGACGTCCAAATATGAGAAAGCAAGTTATTTAGATTTGAAAGGAAAGAGTCGGCAGTGCCCGAGATTAATTGAACTTTCAATTGAAAAGATGTTATGAAAATAATTTATTTAATCAAAACCAACCCTATTACATAAAATAAATAATACTAATTGATACTAATGACTACTACCCATGTAAAGAACTATGATTACATGATATTTATTCACTAGCTACTACGAATAGGTAAAGTAAAAATCAAACTCCTCAATCATTTTTAACCACGGATCCATCACCGATCGAGTGGTCTATTTTTCCATCAGGGTGCTCAAAGAAGTCTGCCACATTCAAGTGGGTGATGTCAAATTCATTGTCAGGGACAAAATTAGTTTCAGGGCCTTTATTCTTTAGAGATGCTTGAAAAAGCTCAACCAAATGTCTTGGTGTACAATAAATATTTGCCCAATACCTTTTTCCACCGCAACGATAACATTCAGCTTCTGAACCCTTTGCTTTTGGATTCTCATCTTTCCCTTTCCACTTTTGATGGTTATTTTTCTTTGGGAGTGATTAACCCCAGAAAAATTTCTTCCTTGGCCACGGCCACGAACAACTTTTTTCATGCTTAGCATAATGAGAATACACCTCATCCACTTCAGGCAATGGTGTAGCCCCAGTGGGCCGATTATCGTAATTTCTCATGAGCAAGTCATTGTTTCGTTCAGCCACAAGGAGAACAGAAATCAACTTAGATTACTTCTTGAAACCTTTCTCTCGGTACTGCTGTTGCAGGACCATATTGGAGGCATGAAACGTTGTGAATATTTTTTCAAGCATATCATAGTCAGTGATACTAATCTCCGCAGAGTTTCAATTTAGAAGTAATTTTGAACATCGCAGAATTGTATTCAGAAACAGACTTAAAGTCTTGGAGCTTCAGATGAGTCCAATAATATCGTGCTTGTGAAAGTGTGACCAACTTTAAGTAGTGATATCTTTCCTTTAAGCCATTCCACAAAATAAGTGGATCTTTGACTGTAAGATATTCTATTTTCAGCCCTTCATCGAGGTGATGGCGCAAGAAAATCAAGACCTTAGCACAGTCTTGGGTAGATGCTTTATTTTTATCTTTAATGGTGTCTCCAAGACCCATTGCATCTAAATGAATTTCAGCATCCAACACCCATATCATATAGTTCTTGCCCGAAATTTCAAGGGAAACTGTCATGACCCAAAATTCGTTAAAGGACGTGATGGCATCGGATACCATTTTCAGGCAAGCCAACACTAAAAAGTTAATTCAGGTCTCATTTTAATATTTTTGAAATCATAGTTTTCCCCCTCAATTAAATAGTAGAAGATGGAGTTTACGAAATACATAATAGTATATTTTAAAAAAATTCCAATACAGTGCAACCCATAATCATCCCTAAAACTTGGTGTCACAAGTGCATAAGCATTTACTAAGAATGTAACATAAAATACAACAGCTGTCCGGAATACAAATTGGACAGGAAAAATGTAAGTACTCTAAAGGAGACTCTATTGGCTGCGGAACGTCGTATAGGACGCAACTCACCTAAGTCCCCGCCATAATCGCGCCTCTGCACTTACAAGGCCACTAAACATATATGTACCTGCACAAAAATATGCAGCAAGTGTAGCGTGAGTACGTAAATCAATGCGTAACCAGTAAGTATCCCGCCTAATCTCGCAGAAGTAGTGACAAGGGGTCGATTCAGACACTTACTATGGGCTATAATTAATATACCAATGATATGATGAGTTATGAATTTTATGAGGCAACAGTAAATACAATAACATGAGGCAGGTAAATAATTCTCTTGTTAATAGGGGATTTCCAAATTTATTTTCATCATTTAACAATTTATATCTCCGGCCAATGAGGCCATATCAATTATCAATAATTCCAAAATAATCAATTAAGTCATGCGCAAATCATGCCGAGGTCGTTCGACACGATCCAACAAATATTTAAACTGTGCACTGCCAGAAGGTTGAATGGCGCAAATCATAGATGCATCTATTTAATCCGCCGAAGCGTTCGGCCCATTCCACAAAGATAAACACATTCAAACAGTCAATCGAGAAATCATTAAGGGAACATTATCCAAAGAAATGGCAATTGCTCTTTTAACAGTCAAGAAATGATGTTTAACCCTTTTAGAAATTTATTTACCAAGTTCGATATAACTTAAGCAATTTAAATTGGCAGTGAGGTTACAATTATCACAAGTATGGCATGCTTTTAGGGTCTTAAACTACCCGGACTTAAGCTTAATAGTTTCTACGCACGGACTCTCGTCACCTCGTACATACGTAGCCCCCACGAATAGAAGCACATATTGATTTAGTTCACCTATGGGGTAAATTCCCTCTTACAAGGTTAGGAAGGAGACTTACCTCGCTCCGAAGTTTCATAACCGGCTCCCAAACCATTCAATCAACTCAAATCGATGCCCAACGCTCCAAAACTAGTCAATAAATGAGTAAATCCACAAATATATACTCTAATACTCATTATAATCCTATTTACAACAATTCCCAACTTCGTTCGAAAAGTTGATAAAATCACCCTCGGGCCCAAGTGCCCGGATTCCGAAAATTTTCGAAGATAATTATTACCCATAGCCTTATGAACTCAAATATATGATTTATTCCCAATTCAAAGCCCAAATTCGTGGTCAAAATCCAAAAATATAAATTTCTAGGTTTTCCTTCAAAATCCCAAATTTCAAAATATTTCATGTATTAATCCATATACAACCCATGTATTTAACTTGCAATAGGTGGGAACCACTTACCTTGACATAGATGATGAAGATGGAGCTCCAAAATCGCTCCTAGGTCGGCTCCCATGGAGGAAAATGAAATGAAAAGGGCCAAACTCCCGTTTAAAACAATCTACCCAGATGCTGCCCTTCTTCTTCGCGAACGCGGAACTTTCCTTGCGTTCGCGAAGCACACAAGTCACTGCCCCAGTATTTCTTTTACGTGAACGTGAGGTTCTCTCATAAACGTGAAGCACACCGGGCCAGACCTTCGCGAACGCGATCCTTTTTACGCGAACGCGAAGCACAACCTCCCATGCCTCACAGTAATCCTTCGCGATCGCGATTCCTTCTTCGCGAACGCGAAGGTTAAATCCCAGTAGCACTCAACTTCCTCTATGCGAACGCGGGAATTCCTTCGCGAATGCGTAGAAGGAAACCAGACACCAACAAATCTTATGCTTCAGCCATTGCCCAAGTCCAAATTCAAATCCGTTGACTATCCAAAATCCACCCGAGGCTCCCGAGACCTTAACCAATTATACCAACACGACCCAAAACACATCACAAACTTAGTCGAGCCTTCAAATCACATCAAACAATGCTAAAATCATGAATTGCACTCCAATTCAAGCTTAAAGAACTTTTGAACTTCAAACTTCCACATTCGATGCCGAAACCTATCAAATCATGTCCGATTGACCTCAATTTTTGCGCACAAGTCATCTTCAACATTACAGACCTATTCTAACTTCCGAAATTAGAATCCGACCTCGATATCAAAAAGTCCACTCCCAGTCAAACTTCTCAAAAACCTTCAAATTTCTAACTTTCGCCAAATGACCCCAAAATGACCTACGGACCTCCAAATCCGCATCTGAACGCGCTCCCGACACCAGAATCACCATACGTAGCTATTACTAGGCTCGGAATCCCAAACGGACATTGATAACATTGAAATGCACTTCAAACACGAATTTAAGAAATCCTTCTAAAAATGCCAACTTTTATATTAGGTGCCGAAACGTTCCCGGGTCATCCAAAATTCGACCCGGACATACACCCAAGTCCGAAATCATCATACTAACCTGTTGGAACTTTTAAATTCCGATTCTAAAGTCGTTTACTCAAAATCAACCCTTAGTCAGATTTTTCTAACTTAAAGCCTCCAAAATGAGAATTATCTTTCCAAATCAACTCCGAACTCCCCGAATTTCAATTCCGACCACGCGTACAAGTCATAATACCTGAAGTAAAGCTACTCATGACCTCAAACTGTTGAACGACGTGCTAGATCTCAAAACGACCGGTCGGGTCATTACTCTCTCTCCCACTTAAACCTACGTTCGTCCTCGAATATGTTAAGAACTGCTTTGGAGTTGTCCGAAATCACTGGTTAACACCTCGTGCACCTACCCGTTCTACCACAACTCAGTTGAGCACACTGGCTCGAGTAAACCTGAAGATTCCCCTTTTGTTTAGTCAAATTAGCCTTAGAGCCAAATTCCAACATCCGGAATCTTCTGCTAGGCTTGTTTCCAACATACGATCACCGTATCAATCACCACACGATGTACCAAAACATGACTGCATACCTCTGCTGAATTCACACCATGCACCGCATAATTCACATGACCTTAATAATATTCTCTGATAACAATAGCCGAAATTCCACGAACCTGATGTCCACAACACATCTCGTGCCACATACATGTCCTACTCCAACTCTTGTAATGCTGCCGCAGCGGAAAAGATACGTAGAAATTTACAACCAACTGCCGAGTCAACCATTTATTGAGTTTCTCCCCTTGACAAGAACCATTACCTCATTCTGGACTGAATACCAATATTTACTCTTTAACTATGCCTCATACCGATCTGATCACGCTAACCCCAGGTCCAATAATCCCGTCTCTCCCAGCATAAGCTGCCCAGGCAATAAGCCACCTCAGACTCTGCCAAAATCTCATATGATGCCACAATGTGCAGACAAACTACAAACTTATATGTGATACCTAAGAAAAACGAA